CTTGTGATCGATCCAATATTGACATTACCAATCAAACAAGATGTTTCTTTCCCATTAAAAAAAGAAAGGTAACATGAGACACAAACCACTGGAGCTAGACTTTTACCCCTCACATGAGACACAAACGATCAGAGCTAAACTTTTACCCTTCTTGTGAGTTAGAAAAAATATTGAGACTGAGATTGGCATATAAAATTGAACTGTGAATGATTTTGGTTTTTAAATTTAAGTCTTAAAAAGAAGGAAAATTTTATAATACAAATCTCAAAATGGGATGTATATCATATGCCCAATTATGATGTTTGTGGTTTTTTGTTATGATTTATTGTGATGTTAGTTATGATGTGATTATGACTCATTGTAATATTGGTTATGACATGTAATTAATATAATCTTTTTTTTGATAAAAAATAATCAAAAATCACAAACGTCGTAACTGAAGCATATGATACACACCATTGTAGGTGTGTATTATAGTATTTCCCATCAACTTATTCACGTATAAAAAAGTGATGCATGATCTCCCTCATAGGTTTTTGTATATATTGGTGAATGTATAAAATAAAATCAATAGAAAAAATATTGAAGCAATTGAAAAAAATATATATATAAGAAAACATTTTTTAATAAAATATATTTAAAATAGAGAGGGATTGTTGGAGTGTACAATAAAAAAATGACAAGTTAAAATAATGAAACAAAATTTTAAATATCAATTTTGACTAGCATTGTTCTTGATGCTATAGCAAACATAACATTATTGTTTCAACAATAATACCACAGAAAACTTTCTCTTCAACAAGAAAACCATTGAGTATTTCATCTCATCAGGTACATCAATTACAACTTCATTTTTGTAGTATTTCTGATCTATAGTTTCTTATGTCTTCCAGCTCTATGTTGAGATTTGTCACTCAATGCCTATTTAAATGTTTTGAAACTAATTCCTTTTTGTTGTACAACAGGTGTTTGACAAAATTACTAAATGAAGGTTTCTCTGTTCTCTGCAATCACTTTCCTTTCACTCCCAAAACTGTATTCAGTTCTAATTTTCATCAACTCTATGGCTCTTTTTCCTATTTTAATGCTAAATATGACCTTCATTTAATTACTGTTTAGCCATTTTTGGTTATTTGGTGCTTGCACTTTACATAGTTACATGCAATGTAAATGTGATGTGATTTGACTATTACATTAGATGCCTATTTTGTTAATTTAAATGTATCTTCTTGGATTACTGATGTGGGGATAGCTCTTGTCAATCAGCTCAAATTCCTGACAAAAACAACATAGTGAACTTTCATAACAGTATTGGGATAGGATAGTTACACACTTTAATACAAAAGTGCACAATCAGCTTCTTAAGTTCACATTATTTGTCTAAATTTTCTTGGCTAATGTTGGGACCCCTTAGGATGAACTGCTTGTAGTTTCTTTTTTACACATTTCTATGGATCTCACTTCTATGTCCATGACCCCACACAAATGTATGGTTTCCTTGGGGTTGTAGATTCATGCGGGCTCGCTGCTATATGGAAAGCGCTAATACATGTGCCTATCATTGGAAAATATCCATGTTATTAGCAAAAATACTATTTGTGACCATCCACTTATCACCGTGCTGTCACTAATAGTATTTGTGATGACTACTGGTGTGGGGGCATGATTTCTTCCATTGGGTTTGCTTTGTGGTGTTCCTTTGTATTCAGTTCATGTTTAATTTGGTTGGTTTCTCGCCAACGGCTATCATTTCTTGGTGTTTGCATATGATTTGCATGTGTTCATGTGCCAATTTAATTGGGATATGTTAACTTCACCATGATGCCGTTTTGCACCTTGGTGTTTTTATTGACTTAATCTTTGCAAATTGCGTTAATAAAACTATCTTTTTTTTGCACTTCCCAAAACAGACCTTAGAGGATAGCTTCTTTTTTTTATTTTTTATTTTTTTGAGCGAATTATACTAACGGTTCTCGTAATTTGGGGTTAGTGTCACTTTGGTCCCTTACCTTTCAATTGTGATATATTTGATCCTAAATTTTGAATCTTGTTCCAAATAATGACAATTGAAGACACAATTGTTCCATTTCAAAAGCAAAGTCGTCAATTTAATAAAATATAAACTAGTTTAATAAAAATAAATATCAAAACTATTTTTGAATTTTAAAAATTATTTCTATTCACCAAAGATAAAATTATATAAAAATGATAAATCTTTTACATTTTTATTTTTTTATCAAATTGGTTTTTAGTATGTATTTGGATGATGATCATATAATGGGTAGTTATTTTTGTTGATGTTTTTTATGGTTATCATGTAATAGATGGTTGTATTGGTTGTTGACAGGTATTTTTGGATGATTATCATATAATAGATGGTTATTAAGTTTTTTATATGTAATTGATATGTTTAATATATGAAATAACTTTAGCTTTGGATTTTTTGATTTAATGGATTGGTTTAATAATAACATTAAAGTGATAACCATGTTTGACTTTTGAAAAAATTGAAAATAATTTAACAAAAATAAATATCCAAAAAATATTTTAACCAAGAAAGTTTCAACATTATTCATTAAAAATAGGCCATTACATTTCAAACAACATATAAGTTAACTAACACAAAATAAATTGTATGACAACTTTGCCACTAAAATGGACTGTTTAAAAAAAAAAACACTTTGATTGTCTTTATTTGGAATAAGATTTAAAATTCAGGATTAAATATATTATAATTAAAAAGTGAAAGCCCAAAATGGCACAGTCTCAAATTATAAGGACGGTTAATGTAATTTTTTTTTTTTTTAATGTCTGAAGGACATATTGAAAATTTATAGAAATTTTAAAAGGAAAATTATAAATTGATAAAAAGAAAAGAGTCCGTTGGAGTTTTGGTTTTTATAGATTTAGTTTGGGTCAATTTTGAGCCCAAATTTGAGTGGGTCCTACACGTCTTTGGGGTGGATCCAAAAAAGTGACGTGCTTCTTATCGCATGGCAAGTCACAAGGTGAAAACGGTTCGTTAAAACCATTTTTAAGTGAATAGGAAGTTAACGTCGTTTTCGAGTTTGTGGAATTCCTACAAGAAAATGCACCTTTGCCGACTAATTTTGGCGACTAAAAAAGTATAATTTTTGGCGACTAAAATTTAATTTGGTCGGCATTGGTTCAATATTTACCTACTAAACTTTTTTAGTTGATAAATATTTGTAATTGGCGACTAAATTTAAATTTAGTCGGCAAAAATTAAAATTTTCAGCGATTAAATAGGATATTAGTCGCCGTTAGTGTACAATTTAGCCTTAAAAAAAAAAATTTGTAATATTTCTTTTTCCCGACTAAAATAGTACTTAGTCACGAAATAGGACTTTTGGCGACCAAAAATTTCGTCGCTGTTGAGTGATAATTCATTACTTTCCCGACTAAGTTCAAAATTGGTCGGCAAAGGTTCAAATTTCAACTCGCGCCACTTCATTAATTGATGCGCGCGCATTGATCTGTAGGCAACAGTATCACACACAAGTGAACAACAGTGTTTCACACATACCTCACTAAAATCTCACAGAACTCAGCCCCCCTCACCGTATTCTACTGTACGGGCGACATTGCGACCGCCACCGCCACCGGCGCCAATCACCACCGTCGCAGCCTTTGAATCACAAGTAGGGATGAAAATAGATAACCTACCCTGTGGGTATCCATGGAGACCCAACCCAAAAACATGGGTTTTTCCATTTTTTTCTTATCCATTGGGTAGGGTAAGTGATATTCTTTAAATATCCACAGGGGATGGGTACCCACTAATTTCCCCATATGTTTTTTTTTTTTTAATTTTTTTTTAATTTTAAGGATTCACAACCAAAACTAAATATACATTCAATCTTTTTTCTTTTATTTATTTATTTATTTTTTCAAGTTCACAACCAACTTTTTTTTTTTTTAGATCCACAACCAAAGCTAAATACACATCCAATCTTTTTTTTTATTATTATTTTTTTATTTTTAAGGTTCACAACCATTTTTTTTTTAATTTTTAAGATTTACAACCAAAGCTAAATATACATTCAATATTTTTTCTTTTGGTTTTTTTTTAATTTTTTTTTTAATTTTTAAGGTTCACAACAAAAGCTAAATATCATTCAATCTTTTTTCTTTTGTTTTTTTTTTTAATTTTTAAGATTCACAACAAAAGCTAAATATACATTCAATCTTTTTTCTTTTTAGAGGTTTTGCCTATTTGACTATTTTAGTAAACTATTTTAGTTTTTGCATTTAAGAAGATGGGTTGGATTTTTTGTTAGATTGATGTATTGAAAAATGTGTTTGAAATAATGTAGAGATAATAAATGACCAAAATGTCCCTATGTGTATTATCGTTGTTGTTGTGAGTTTCTCAAAAATTAAAAAGGCAAAAGCGTCATTTTACCCTTTGTCCGTTACAGCTGTGTATCATGTGGGAAGTCAGCAACAATACTTTTTGAATTTTTTTCTTGAAGAGGCTAAAGTGATCTATAAATTTCATTTCCAAACACTGCCATAATTAAATGCATAAATCACTTTTATCTTCATCATTTTGTAATTATTTTTTACTTTTGATTTTTTTGATATTCTCCAAAAAAAAAAAGAAAGAAAGAAAAAAGTGAAGTCTTAAAATTGTTTCAGTCAATTTTTTTTTTCTTTTATCAATAATTTAGTTTTTAAATAAAAAATAAAAAATTAGAAAGAGAGAACATGAGTGGAACGAGGCCGGCAGAGGTGGAAGAATAGGAGAGAGAGAGAGACTACATTAGTAGGCGTCATGCGTATTTTGACCTTTTTTGATATTTGAATTTTTAAAAAAATAAACACATTAATAAATTATTTAGCTTTTATTGTCAACCTTAAAACAAAATAAAAAAATAAGTTGTTAACATTAAATATATTAAAAAAGAAAGAAAAAAGATTGAAGGTATATTTAGCTAAAACCTTAAAAAAAAAGAAAAAAAAGTTGTTAACATTAAATATATTAAAAAAAAAAGAAAAAAGATTGAAAGTATATTTAGCTTTTGTTGTGAACCTTAAAAAAAAAAAAATTATTAACATTAAATATATTAAAAAAAGAAAGTAAAAATATTAAAGGTATATTTAGTTTTTGTTATGAATCTTAAAAAAAAAAATAATCGTTAACATTAAATATAAAAAATAAAAATAAAATAAAAATTAAAATTAAAATGGATTAGAAAAAATTTAAATCTATTAAAAATTGAGAAAAATAGTAAACCTAAAAAATAGAAAATGAGAAAAATTTATTATAGAAAAATGGGATGGAGAATTAACATCACCCCCATTAATCCCATAGCCATCCCTAATCACTGGTTCTCTCTCTCGCTCTCTCGCTCTCTCGCTCGAGCTCTCTGACACAGTCTATCTATGTATCTGTCTGTCTATGTCTCTCTCCTTCTCTTTCTCAAAGAGTTAAAAATGTTAAGGGTTAAAAAGAGGGAAAATGACCAATTTAAAAGAGGCAGAGTGTAAATTTACCCATTTTAGAAACAATTGTTATATAGGGTCGGTCCAAAGCGGTTAATCATATCATCAAATTAGGTTCTCTCACGATCCACAAGTTCGTTACATTCACACACATATATATATAACACTGGTACTGGTATATATATATATATCGTAATCTCTGTAACTAGCGATTTGGGAATTGAGATCTGTGTTTCTCTCTCAAATCGTCTTTGACAAAGATGTATGGATTCGAAGCAATGACATTCAACATCCATGGCGGTTACCTGGAAGCGATCGTGAGGGGATACAGATCTGGTTTGCTCACCGCCGCCGATTACAACAATCTCTGCCAGTGCGAAACCCTAGATGACATCAAGATGCACCTCCCCGCTACCGAATACGGACCCTACCTCCAAAACGGTAACCCTACAATTTCATATCGATCTCATAGTTGTTCTCAATTCAGTGTTTCACTGTGTTAATTGAAGCCCTAGAACGTAATTTAGAATTTGGGTTATGATCTCATTCATGTATGAACTTGTAATTCTCTTTTGGATCAGGGTCTCAGTGTTTCTCAATTGAATTGGGTTCTTCTAGCTGAAATTATTCGTTTCACGATGTTAAATTGAAGTTCTAGAATGTAATCAAGGTGTTTAATTTTGAAATCTATGTTGAAACTTTTATGGAAAGTTTTCAACTAATGTATTGTTTAAGCTAGAAATATACTTGAATCACACTTCAAAATCTAGCTAATGCGTGTTCTATGTCTTCTATTAGCATGAACCAAATCCTAGCCCTAGGTTTAGTAATAGACTATCTCGATCATGGTTATCATGTTACTAATGTAGAGAATTGAATCACACTGACACTCTAGATAGGAGCCATGTCAAAGCATATTGGATGCGCCATAATTTTAAAATAAATTGCATATGCTAAGATGCAGTCAACACTTCTCAGACTCTCAGTTAGCATTTGAAGAGCATTGCCCGAGTCCTTGAAACTATTGAAAGTAGGATACACACATTCCTAAGTCTTCCAACATTTTCTTGTCTTAAAAACATAAATAAATGAAAAGAATGGTTGATATCACACATTCACGACTAGAATTTGAGCATCCTATGGATTCTTTTGAATATATGAAAAATAAAATACACTAATGTATAGCAAAAATTACAGAAAGATAATAGCAGTTGAAATTTCATATGCTTATTATGTTCATAGTGGAATTTCATAGTTCTAGCTTATGAACTAATAATGGTTATCGTAATTTTCCTGCAGAACCTTCCCCGTTGCATACAACTACAATTGTGGAGAAATGCACTCTTAAACTGGTTGACGAGTACAAGCACATGCTATGCCAAGCCACAGAGCCATTGTCAACCTTTCTTGAGTATATCACGTATGGAGATTTAAGTCTTTTCCAAGCATGACTAATTTTTTATGTGAAGTATTGAGACAGCTTAGCTACTGTGTACTTGGTTGTTTATGTTCATGCAGAATTTGCCAAAATATTTATTCTAGGGGTAATTCTCTAGGGTTATGTATTCCCTAATGTGAGTGTGTGGGTTCTCTGCCCAAGATTGATGCTTTCGGTAAAGTTTGAGAAGTTTCCATGCATTTGGAATCATTCTGTCCCGAAGTTACAAGGTTTTTGTAATTGTTGTATGTATTTGTTGCATTCCTACTTATATTGGCAAGATAATTGTTATGTGAAGCTCACTAAGCATGTGTCTGTTTGTGCTATTTTGAGTCACATGGTGCATTTAGTGTGTACAGTTAAGCTTTAGCTGGTCTGACATACCTTTAAATTCAGCCCAAACTGTGCATTGGCTACAAGTCTTGCTTGAAGTCCGACCTTATGTTTGGTTGGCATACAGGCATGCAGTTTCATCTTCTTTAATGTGCAATTCGCTGGTTTCTAAACAGGATGAGGGTGAACCTTTACTTCACTGCGTTTTTAATTTAATGCCTGGCTGGTAAAATAGATTGTCTTAAATTTTTCTGGAAACCTAAATACCTAATATTTGTTCATATTGTACAGATATGGTCACATGATTGACAACGTTGTCCTGATCGTTACTGGAACCTTGCATGAGAGAGATGTTCAGGAATTGTTAGAGAAATGCCACCCTTTGGGCATGTTTGACAGGTAATGTTTACTTGATGCAGGTTTGTAGTTTTGTTTTGACTACTAATAACATGGCAATGGTTTTCTTAATTTGTTTCCTCAATATTGCTACCCTGGCAGTTGCTCAGAATATGCGGGAACTATATAGACTGGTGCTTGTTGACACGCCTTTGGCTCCGTACTTCTCTGAGTGTATCACATCTGAGGTACTCACATCTGAGCTCTCTAACATGTCTGAACTATATCTTTCTGTGATTATTTTTATTGTATGTCAAAATATGTAGAGCCTCAAGGAAAATGCTATGTTCGTAGAAATGAAATGGGGAAAACAGTGTCACATAATTGGTTATCTTGGGGTCTTTATATTCTTACCTCCTGCACCATTTGAAGGGTTTAAATTATTTTATTATTGAATACTTGTAGAGCCCCAAAAAATTTCACTTAAGTTGCTTATTAGGTCTCAAGCACTCAAGCCGCAGTTAAGGAGGATTCACTATTCTGGTGGCTGATATAAATCAATGTTGTTGCCTATAATATTATTATAAACTTCTTTCGTCAAATTCGTTAGGCATTTTTTGGATCATGATTTTTCAACATTCATTTTCTTTCTGGTATAAGTACCCTTCTGTATTTGAATATGAGGATTAGATTGAAAATTCTTGTTTGCTATTGATGATTGTTTGCATCTTCCTTCAGTTTTTCATGCTCGAGTATTCTAGATACAATTGCAGGTGATGTTGTTCATTTGGAGTATGAGTGGATAAGATGGCAGATTGATCATTTTGGATAAAGATTTTTTTATTTATTATCTCTATGCCAAAAATGATAGTATGATTTTGTGATAGAACTATTTTGTTATCACCTAGAGATTATCAATAACAACTTGACTAATTCTTGTCATTTAGTTTGTGAATATGGAATGTTACTAATGTAGACATTACGTAAGAGCATAAGGATGGCAATTCTTGTGCATAATATGCATGAAGGTAATAAGAGTACCATGGCATACTAGTAATTACGAGGATTGGAATGAATATAGGGATTGTTAATTTCAAGTTTAAAGATTTTGATGCTGCTATTGAAGACCTATCTGCATGTGTAAAGCTTGATAAGGATAACAAATCAGCGTACACATATTTGGTAATTCTATGGTCCCTAAAATTTATTGATCTAGGGTCTAGTACAATCAGCTTGAGAAAGTTCAGGCACTTTTCCATGTAAAAAATATTGATGGAGCAGGTTTTGACTTTTACAGGGTTTGGCATTATCTTCAATTGGTGAATACAGGAGGGCTGAGGAGGCACATATGAAATCAATTCAACTTGATCCAAGTTTCCTTGAGGCATGGGCTCATTTAACACAGGTATTCATAAGTAAATACTCAGTGTAATTGACTTACAATATTCACATTGTGTGATTAATGTGTCCTGTTGTGTGGTAATAATGAAAAGGTGAAATTTATAATACTCTTATTTTGGTGCTAACTGACCAACTCAACTCAAGCAGCCATAATCCTGACTCGAGATTTTTCTGATGTTGTTACTTTTATACACATACACGCACACACTCACACACAAAGAAAGAAAAGAAAAATTCAAGCACAGCTGCAAGTTCATTGACATAGGCTAAACGGACCAGATATTTGTTTGGAGAACTGATATATCTTATGGGCATTTTTTTCCATCTAAAACATTGATTTGAACTGCTCTTTTTCATAATTTTTTGCAACTTAAATCATGAAAGGAAATGTTTTGAGTATTAAAACATAGCCAATAGTTACATCACAAGAAGGGAATCCCCCCTGAAAAAACAACATCCACAACGATAGTAACCCATCTCACTTAATCTGGGAGATGACAAGCTGGCTAAGCTTACAACAGACCTAATCTGAGCACTAACATTATAAATTTGCTAAGGTATGCATGATTAAGAACATTCATCAGTTTGAAGCCCCCTATTTCACCCTATATTGTATATATAAAATAAAATAAAAAAACCATGTAGCCCGCACATGACCATTAACAAACTGCATTTTCTCTCTCTGAAAAGACAATTATGTTGTTCTGTTCAGAAAGACCAGTGAGTGGTTTTCGCATATCTTATGTTCCTGCCCAATCAGTTGCTTCTGTTCACTAATAATAGCACAATATCTTACTGTGGTTACTGCTTAATGAAAGAGTGATTTGAATATTTTTTTCTTGGTTGGATTTTTGATGGCCAACCTTGTGAGGCCATAAGTAAGCTACATTAGGCGAGAATCTGTAGTTAACATCATTTTGAATCACCTTGATATGTTGATATGTGAGCACTGATACTATGTTGTTAAGTCAAGAGTAAATTTGCATGAGATCTTTGTAGTTTTAGGAGAACTCTGGCTGGACCTCACATCATTGTTGGTTCTAGAACTTTTTAGCAATAGTGTTGTAATGGTAGTTTTCCAGTTGCTTTAACTTTCTCTACTTACTTACCTGTTTGGTAACGTTTATGTTTTCAATTTATATTTACAAAAATTTTATAAATTGGTTTTTGTTTATTTTTAGAAAAACATAAACTACAAACGCGTTTGGTTTAGACAAAATGTTTAAAATATAAAAAAGAGTGAGAATTGGCAAGTGATGGCGGGTGGTGGGTGGAGACAAGTGGTGGCGGCGGAAGATGGTGGTGGAAAATGATGGCGGGTGGTGGTGGCGAAGACGGTGGTGGAAAATGGTGGCGGGGGGTGGCTAGGGTTAGGTGGTAAAAAAAAAAAAAAATAAAAAATCAAAAAGGAAAAACATTTGTTGTAATAGTAGTAGTAGTGGTGGCCATGGCATGATGGTGGTGGTTGTGGTGCTGGTAGTAGTAGTAATGGTAATGGTAGTAGTAGCAGTGGTGGCGGTGGCTGGTGGTGGCAGGTGGCTGGTGAGTGGTGGCTGGAGGTGGTAGTGGGTGGTAGGTGGTGGGTGGTTGGTGGTGGTTGGTGGTGAGTGGGTGGTGGTGGGTGGTAGGAGGTGGTACGTGGTGGGTGGTAGGTGGTTGTGGGTGGTAGGAGGTGGGTGGTAGGGGGTGGTGGGTGGTGGGTGGATGGGTGACGGTAGCGGGTGGTAGCGAGTGAGTGGTGGTGGTGGCGGGTGGTGGTGGCAAGTGGGTGGTGGGTGGTGGTGGCAAGTGGGTGGTGGGTGGTGGGTGGTGGTAGCGGAAGACGGTGGTGGAAAATGGTGGCAGGTGGTTGCTAGTGTTGGGTGGTAAAAAAAAAAAAAACTCAAAACTCAAAACGGAAACACATTTTTTGAGTTTACATTTTTTGGCCAAATTTATAAACTGAGACAACTGATTTATAAATCAAAAATTTACCAAACAAGTTTTTATTTGAGTTTTTTAAATTTTTGTAAATATAAACTGAAAACTGAAAACGAAAGTGTTACCAAACGGCACTGAAGTTTTCCGGGTTCAACGAAGTGGTCTTTAATATTTTGTTTTAAAGTATCATCATCCATTAAGGTGGCTTTTGGTTCTTCAAGTGGTAATTGGAGTGGGGAAACGCTGTGAGTTTTTAAGAATCTTGCCTTGGAATTTACTGCAACATAATGCATTTTTAATCTGTATTATACAGTTGTGGCAAATCCATTGTGTTGTGGATGTGTCTTGTGGTGGGTTTTGCAGCCTTCCATTTAGGACATGTAGGCTTGTAATGTGAAGTCCGTATGATTCTCTTGGCATTGTTCTATTTGATTGGCAAAAGTGAGTTGGAGAAGGTGGATACTCAGGGGGATCATTTAAATAACTTAAGGGAGTCTCAATCTTACTACAAAATCAAGGACATACATATAGTCATTTTTAGATTTGCAATTGTAATGCATTAAGCAATCTTCTGGGGCGAAAACTTAGTCGAAAAAGGGCATTTCGGGGGCGAAAATGCAAAACAGCCCCCGAATCTCCGTGTGGCCGAAACGAACAGTTTTCCCATGCCAAATATGACTTGTGACAACTGACGGAATGTTATTCGGACCTATAGGTTGAGATTTAGAGACGAATACGCTTAAAACTTAGTCGAAAAAGGGCGTTTCGGGGGCGAAAATTCAAAATAGCTCCCGAACCTCTGTGTGGCCCAATGTTGTCAAAGGCGCGCCTAGGCGCAGGGCGAGTTGAGTCGCGCCATCTGCGCCTGTCGAGGTACCAGGCGAGGCGACTTGAGCCAGGCGAGCGCCTTAGCCACGACTGGAGCAAGGCGAGAGAGGCGCAAGGCGATCGCCTAGGTGCAACTGAGTGTTCAAGTTGTAGATCGGATCTAACGACTCAGATGAACCCAATCGAAGGCCTCGTAATCACAGAGGATTACGACTCATGGACCATATGAGCCAAATAGGACTTAGATAACCCTAATCGAAGTCGTCTGTTCCTGTGTTCAAAAAAAGAAGTCGTCTCTTCCTCTTCCTCTGCGACTACGACTTCGATCGACTTCGCAGGTTCGATTCGCAGGTTCGACTTCGATTGACTTCGCAGGTTTCAACTTCGATCGACTTCGATCGGCTTTGCAGGTTCGACTCTCTCCCCTTCCCCTTCTTCTTCGTCTTCGATCGACTTCAGCTCTGTTTTTTGCCTTCAACTGATCTGTTTTGCTTTTATTTATTTATTTATTTATTTTTTCTTTTATTTTTTTTTTCAATTATTTGAGTTGAGTCTGAAAAAAAATGGGAAGCCTGAAATTGATTATGATAAATAAATAAATAAATAAATAAATTCATAAATAAATTAATTAATTGATTATGATAAATTAATTAATTCATAAATAAATAAATTAATTAATTGATTATGATAAATAAATAAATAATTTTTTTTTCAATTATTTGACTTTCATAACCCTGATTATTACATAAACAAATTAATTAATTAATTAATTAATTCATACATACATACATAAATAAAAAAATAAATATATTACATTCATTATGATTATACTGAAATTGATTCATCATTATACTGAAATTAATTAATTCACCTTTAATTAAAAAAATAAAAAATTGATTCATAACATTAATTAATTCATACATTACATATATTACATACATTACAAGAAAATTGAATGTAACATAGAGGAATTAATGTAATGGAATGTAATGTACATTAATTAATTAATTAAAAAAAATAGAAAATTGATTCATACATTACATACATTAATTAATTCATCACACAACATGCATTACATTCATTATACTGAACTTGTTTTTTTGTTATTTATTTTTTGTGTTGTGTAGTAAGTACTAAGTAGAAAATGACATCGGAAAGTAATAGAAAAGATCCGGCATGGCAATATGTCCATTTGGTGGAGGAGAATAATTTAAACAAGTTTGAGTGTAATTTTTGTGGTAAAGTATCAAATGGAGGTGTTTATCGGATGAAACAACACTTTGCAGGAGGTTATAGGAATGTCACTGCTTGCCCGAAGTGTCCTCTTGTAAGAGAAGAGATTAGAGAGTTCATGTCCAAAAAAAAGACACAAAAAGAAGAAATGAACATGTTGCTTGATTTTGATGACATGGACATGGAAGATGAAGATGAAGATGATGATGTCGTTGAGATCAATGTCAATCAACACCGCAAGTTGACAAGTAGTAGCCAAGGTTCATTCAAATCCAAATCCGAATCCAAATCAAAAATGCCAAAGAGAAAAGGGCCTATGGATGTTTACTTCACACCCAATCCTGAATCAGTGGTGAAAAATCGAAAAGACCAAGCAAAAGGGAAACAAACCAAAATTGATGCAAATGACCCTTACAAAAAAGCAATGAGAGCTCGGGCACTGCAAAGATTTGCAAGGTGGATGCATGATGCTGGTATCCCTTTTAATGCAATAAATTATGAGAGTTTTGGACCAATGGTTGAAGCCATTGGCCAATATGGTCCTGGTATGGTATGAAGCCACCGACTTACCATGAAGTGCGGGTTACCCAACTCAAAAAAGAAGTGAAACATACTGAAGATTTGATGAAGTATCATAAAGAGAATTGTGCAAAATACGGGTGTTCCATAATGGCTGATGGTTGGACTGATAAGAGAGAAAGGACATTGATTAACTTTTTAGTTAATTGTCCAAGAGGAACCATGTTTGTTGAGTCGGTTGATGTTTCTAGCTATTCAAAGTATGGGCAAAAGCTATTTGAATTACCAGACAAGTTTGTGGAGAAAGTTGGAAAAGAGAATGTGGTGCAAGTTATCACTGATAGTGCTGCAGCTAATGTGTTGGCGGGTAAGAATATTTCCTCATTCCTTACATCAAAATTGTTTACTCATAGTTTGTTTTGTATTTAAAATTTAAAAACTTGAAAATAATAATTCTTCATTATTGTTACATTATAGGGAGGTTTTTGGAAGCTAAGTATGAACACTTGTATTGGACACCATGTGTTGCTCATTGTTTGGACTTGATGTTAGAAGACATTTTCAAGATACCTAGACTGAAAAAGACATTTGAAAGGGGTATTGCAGTACATGGCTACATTTACAATCGGCCTACGTTGCTAAACATGATGAGTCGCTATACAAATTTGAAGAATTTGATCAAGCCTGCAAAAACTAGATTTGCAACCGCCTTTTTGACTTTGTCTAGGATGCATCAACAAAAAAACAATTTGAGAAAGATGGTTACCTCCGAAGACTGGACCTCAAGCAAATGGGCAAAGGAGCCATAAGGTAAAAGAATGGCACAAACTTTGTTGATGCCTTCATTTTGGAATACTGTTGTGTTTGCCCTTAAGGTCTCGGGTCCTCTTGTCAAAGTGCTTAGATTGGTTGATACCGAGAAGAAACCTCCCATGGGATACATTTATGAGGCAATGGATAGGGCAAAAGAATGCATTGCAAGTTCATTTGATCATAAAGAAGAGAAGTATAATGAAATCTTCAAAATCATTGACAAAAGATGGGAAGTCCAATTGCATCGACCTTTACATGCAGCTGCGCATTTTCTTAACCCAGAATTCTTTTACCCAAAAGCGTTAGAAGTGCAAAGAGATCATGAAGTGATGAATGGGTTTTATGAATGCATGCAAAGGTTGGTCCCGGATGTCACTGTTCAAGATTTGATCACTAATGAGATGAGTATTTATATGAAGGCTGAGAGTCTTTTTGGCAAGGCTGTTGCGATTAGGCAAAGAAATACAAGAGTACCAGGTAATATATTATAGACTCATAGAGTTTATTTTTAGTAATACTTTTAATAAAACTTAATACTTGGTAACAATTATTTCTAACTAGTGTATTATCGCAGCTGATTGGTGGGCATCATATGGTTCTTATACTCCAAACTTGCAAACTTTTGCCATAAAAGTCCTTAGCCTAACATGTAGTTCATCGGGTTGTGAACGAAATTGGAGTGTATTCGAACATGTGAGTATTTAACATTCTAACTAATTTTTTGTTCAATTCAAATATTTTTTATTCTCATTATATAGAATTTAATATCTTTTTAATACTTGCAGCTTCATAGCAAGAAAAGAAATAGATTTGAACAACGTCTCAATGATTTAGTGTATGTCAAATACAATAGAACATTGAGATTTAGGTATGACATGCGCAACACTCTTGATCCCATATCTTTGCAAAATATTGATGAAAACAATGAGTGGTTGCTTAAGAGGATGGATTGAGAATCAGAAGAAGATAATGAGCCTGTGTTTGATGATGATGATGGCTTGACGTGGGCCACTGTTGCTAGAGCTTCTGGAGTAGAAGAAAGTAGCCATGCAAGTAGAGCAACAAGTTTACGCTCAAAGGCACAACCGAGGATATTTAAATCATCAACATTGACTCCACTTCAATTAATAGATGAAGAGGAAGCGGGCTCAGATGACACAGAGGAGGAAGATGTTGAGGGATACAAATCAACTGATGGAGAAGAAGATGATAGCTTGCTTGCCATTGATGTTGAGGATGATGATTGACTGACACCGACCTAACCTACCATTTCTTTTGATGTTGATGTTTTTAAGTGTGAAGACATATATTAATATTTGTTGGATATTTATGTTTTGGATGTTTAGTGTTTATGTTTTTATTTTATTGAATGTGGATTATTTGATCTTTGAAAATTAAAATGTTTTGTAATATGCACTTTCATGGCTTTGAGAATTATTCTATATTTTGTCTTGAATCTTGATTACTTTTTATTTTTTAAAAAATTGTCTTAGTACTATGAATGATTAGTCTATATTAATTTTTCTATTTTTTACGAATACTGTGCGCCTTACTTCAATAAAGCCCGCGCCTCGCCTTGCGCCTAGGCTCCAAGAGACCTTCGGCGCCTTAGTGTGCCTTGAGCCTTTAAAAACACTGGTGTGGCCGACATGGGCAGCTTCCCTATGCCAAATAGGACTTGTGACAACTGACGGAATGTTATTCGGACCTATAGGTTGGGATTTAGAGCCGAATACACCCAAAACTTAGTCGAAAAAGGGCGTTTCGGAGGAGAAAATTCAAAACAGCCCCCGAACCTTTGTTTGGCCAACATGGGCAACTTCCCCATGCCAAATAGGACTTGTGGCAATTGACGGAATGTTATTCGGACCCGTAGGTTGGGATTTAGAGATGAATATGCCCAAAACGTAGTCGAAAAAAGGGAGTTTTGAGGGCGAAAATTCAAAACAGCCCCCAAACCTCCGTGTGGCCGACACAGGCAGCTTCTCCATGCCAAATAGGACTTGTGACAACTGACGGAATGTTATTCGGACCTATAGGTTGGGATTTAGAGCCGAATACGCCCAAAACTTAGTCGAAAAAAGGAGTTTCGGGGGCAAAAATTCAAAACAGCCCCCGAACCTCCGTGTGGCCGAGACGAACAGTTTCCCCATGCCAAATAGGACTTGTGACAACTGACGGAATGTTATTCAGACCTATAGGTTGGGATTTAGAGCTGAATACATCCAAAACTTAGTCGAAAAAGGGTGTTTCGGGGGCGAAAATTCAAAACAGCCCCCGAACCTCCTTTTGGCCGACACGGGCAACTTCCCCATGCCAAATAGGACTTGTGACAACTGACGGAATGTTATTCGGACTCGTAGGTTGGGATTTAGAGACAAATACGCCCAAAACTTAGTCGAAAATGACGTTTCGGAGGCGAAAATTCAAAACAGCCCCCGAACCTCCGTGTGGCCGACACGGGCAGCTTTCCCATGCCAAATATGACTTGTGACAACTGACGGAATGTTATTCGGACCTATAGGTTGGGATTTAGAGCCGAATACGCCCAAAACTTAGTCGAAAAAAGGCGTTTCAAGGGCGAAAATTTAAAACAGCCCCCGAACCTCCGTTTGGCCGACACGGGCAGCTTCCCCATGCCAAATAGGACTTGTAACAACTGACGGAATGTTATTCGGACCTGTAGGTTGGGATTTAGAGACAAATACGCCCAAAACTTAGTCGAAAAAGAGCGTTTCGGGAGCGAAAATTCAAAACAGCCCCCGAACCTCCATGTGGCCGACACGGGCAACTTCCCCATGCCAAATATGACTTGTGACAACTGGCGGAATGTTATTCAGACCTATAGGTTGGGATTTAGAGCCGAATACGCCCAAAACTTTGTCAAAAAAGGGCATTTCGGGGGCGAAAATTCAAAACAGCCCCTGAACTTCCGTGTGGCCGAAACGAACAGTTTCCCCATGCCAAATATGACTTGTGACAACTGACGGAATGTTATTCGGATCTACAGGTTGGGATTTAGAGACGAATATGCCCAAAACTTAGTCGAAAAACGACGTTTTGGGGCGAAATTTCAAAACATCCCCTGAACCTCCATCTGACTCTCACGGGCAGCTTTCCCATTACAAATAGGACTTGTGACAACTGACGGAATGTTTTAAACTTGCTAATTTTGTGAACGTACACACGTGTGTTATTATTTTTATCACATATTCTAATATCCTCTCTGAAATGGCACTGACATACATTAATAAGCACCGATGGTTTTATATCCAATCTAATGATTCAAGTGCCTTTTACAAGCAAATAATGAGAAACTTGGTAAAAAGAATACTTTCTATTCACATTGGGCTTTGATATTGGTTTAGCCACAGAATTTGGCATACATGTTGCATACAAATAGAAGATTGTTACATTAGTTGTATGTTACTAATGAAAGATTTAGTAATGATTGTTCTGCATTTAACAATGTTCCTTATAACAAAAGACTTTAGAAAGACTGTACAATGACTGATAATTGATTCATCACGGAAGGTTGTTTCTCACTTATTTTTATTTGTCACTTGTTCCCAAATTCATTCATGAAGTTGGGCATTTTTGGGTCCAATTCTAATGTTTTTTTGTTTTTTGTAGATGGCTTCGTTGTGTGGACTTGCAGAGATATTTTGGTGTATGGAGAAGAAATTGTACTTTTGTCGTCTCCAGCTTTTGTGCAGTTAACTATTCCTGATACAGAAAACTATTGGCAGCGAACAGATAATTATTGGCATGGTAGATAGATCACCTTTTGACGCCGTCCACTAAATTGATTTTTTGTCGTGGTACATAGATGAATTTTTGGCTTGGTACATACATCACCTTTTGTCGTCGTGCAGATTATGATGGTAATTTGTACCATGCCAAATGGTCATTTCACATGGTATAGTAAATGTAGTTTTTGTATATGAAGGGCTTTACTTTTTGTATGATTGAATATGTTGTATGGAATTATTATTTTAGTTTGGACAATAGTTCGTTTGTATGTACTTGGACAGTTAAAGTAATTTATTTTTTGTATACGGATGCAGATTGTGGAATGATTGATAATTTATGTATCATTTTATTTATATATGTATTACAGGTTGAATGGAATACAAGACAGGTTATGGACACATTATAATATTACCAATAAAATATAATATCATGTTTTTGCCGACTAAACGTTTTGTAGCCAATAAAAAGGGAAAAAAAAAAAAAATATTTGGCTACTAAAAGTTTTGTAGTCAAAAGAAAATCAAACATTTGGCTACTAAATTTTTTGTAGGCAAAAGAAAAACATCCATTTGGCCAAAAGAAAATCAAACCTTTGGCTACTAAAAGTTTTGTAGCCAAAAGAAAATTAAACATTTAGTGATTAAAATATTTTGTAGCTAAAACCAAAAGTCGAAGAATAAATAGGACTTTTGGCGACTAAAAATTTAGTAGCAAATAATGTCATAGTTTAGGCGATTAAATTTTTAGTAGCCAAAAGAAATAGTATTTAGCGACTAAAATTTTAATAGCCAAAAAAGATTGACGTTAGGTGACTAAAATTTTAGTAGTCAAAACACTAGTATTTGCTTTTGGTGACTAAAAAATTTAGTAGTTAAAAATTTTTTGGCCACTAAGTAATTGGCTTTTGGCGACAAAAAAATTGGTCGGCAAAAATGTATTTATTTAATTAATTTTTATATATTTGGCGACTAAATTAGATTTAGTCGGCAATTATATTTCCCGACTACTCGTTGGCTACTAATTTTCCAACCAAAAAATTTAGTTGCGAAAGACTATAGGCGACTAAAATATGACTTTTGGCGACTAAAAATTTAGTCTTCAAAAGTGAAAATTCTTGTAGTGAATGGACAATTAAAGAAGTAAAATATGGGTTTTTTTAAAATGGATTGTCCCACATTGAAACTTGAAGAGAGCTTATGTGAGTATATAAGCTTTAGGTGGACAAACTTGGGGGTTGGGCCCCAAGGGGCACCTCAAGTTTGTAAAAGAATGGAGTTATGGACAAAGTAGGCTTTGGCTCAAAGCACCACACGTGCGCGCAGGTCGCCGTCGGTCGGACACAGTTGTGGGTCGGGTCAATCCTAATATTAATTTTTTCCCAAAAATTCTTGAGGGAAAATTATTTTTTCTGAACGAAATTAATTTAAATTTTGCGCCAAATTTGAATTCGATTTTCCTGCCCAAACAGTGCCTCTTTCGAGTCCATTTTCCAACAGGTTTAAACAGTTCTTTTAACCTGTTTAAACAGACAGATTTATTTCTTCCCAGACTAATTCAAATTTGTTTCAAACATATTTGAATTTCTGCACATGTTCAGTTTGAATTTTGCACATGTTCACTTCAATTTGTACATGTTCGGCCCTTTCCTAAAGGTCACCATTTAGGCTATAAATACTACAATTTTTCCAGCAGTTTGGGCATCCAAAATTTTCTTGTTGCTTTCCATTTTGCTCTCTTGCATACATATATTCTTCATACTAATTTTTTGAAGAAAATTCTGAGAGTATAGAACACAAGTAGTTCACCGTACAGATTGTTTGGAGTGTTACTATAATCTGTGTAGATCATTGTATCCTGCAAGATAGACACCATTTATCTGTAAGCACCGGAGCGGAGCGAATCTGTCTTAAGGACAGAGTGTCATACACTTGACTTGATCAATTTTATACTTATTTATGTTGGTAAATAAATTTTGTAAGTAATTTATTTTTTATTTGTTTGATTTGATTTCAAGTTATTTATTTTATACAAAAAATTGTTGTAACAGAGTCTTGGGTTACAAATTTAATTTTAATCAAGTACAATAGGGCTTACTTAGTTTTTAATTAAAAAAACAAGAAGGCCAAATATAAATTTGTTATGACATTTTCATGGTCAATAATTTTATAGGTAATTAAAAGATTTGCTTAAAATATGAATCGTTTCTGTCATTTTGAAAATTACATTCCATCCCTTGATATTTCTAATTTCATAACAAATCGCTCATTTTATTAATAAATTATCAAGTCAATTAATAATTTTTAATGATGTTATAAATATTTTTCAATTAATAATTCAGGTAATTTTATTATTGTATAGGAGAGCAGTTATAAATTTTATTTTTTTAATTAATTCTGTTAAATAAAAAATTCTGATAATGGGGTATTTATAATTTTTCAAATCACAAGAGACAATTTATATTTAAAATAAATCTCAGGAAATGTATTTGTAACTTACCCTAATTTTATCCAAACTTATATGAGGAAGAGAAACATTTTTAATAGAGCTTAATAAATTATCAAGTCAATTAATAATTTTTAATAATATTAGAAATATTTTTTAATTAATAATTCAGATAATTTTATTATTGTATAGAAGAGTAGTTACAAATTTTATATTTTTAGTTAATTCTAT